TTCTCAATCAAAAATCAAACACGAGCCATTTCACTAAATTTCCTTCGAGTTCTGACTTGTCATCCCTTCTCTCTGCCAGAGCATATACAATTCTTCGAACAAGACAAATGCAAATTGCAAGTATATACATCCGTCTGCTCGTGAATTGATTTTCGATGGAAATTCGTACTTTTCACCAATTCGTGTGTATTGCGAAAATCATTGGAAAGGAAGTAAGGCGTAAAAGTCCTTCTTCTTTCCTTCTTTTGTTTTTTTTTGTTTTTTTTTGAGAGAGAGAGAGAAGGGGGTGAGGGTGGAAGAAAGAGACAATCGAAAGAAACTATATATGTAGACATAGGCAGCGATCATTGTAGAGAGTAACAAACCATACGTGTCTGTGCAATATTCACGCCAACGAGATCACAACTGTGCGAGATCAACGCGATGCGAACGCGATAAAAAGAAAAAAAGAAAGAGAGAGAGAGAGAGAGAGAGAGAGAGAAAAAACAAAAGAATGATTTACCTTGGCGATTACTCGATAGAACGCGAATATAAATATAAATATATATATATATATATAATATAAAGATAAATATATAAATATATATGTCATATATAATATAAATATAAATATAAAAATATATATATAATATAAATATAAATATATAAATATATATAACATATATAATATATGTATAATATAAATATAAATATAAAAATACATATTATATATAATATATGTATAATATAAATATAAATATAAAAATATATATTATATATGTATAATATAAATATAAATATAAATATAAAAATATATACAATATATATATAAATATAAAAATATATATAATATATAATATATATATATATCGTTCGAAGCACGAGAAGAATCGAAAATGTAATAGAAAAAAAAAAAAGAGATCGTGCCCCGACGTGTTTTTATTGCGTTCACATCGGATCACTCTTTCGTTTCTTGAGTTTTACCTTTGGATTCCTCTCTTCTCAGGTTCTCACGTATTCGTACGCACCTCGCGTGCTTTCCCGCGACTAAAAAAAAAAACGCGACGTTCTTCCTTTCGACAGTTAAGGATCTCCCGATTTTCCACGATTTTCCAGGGACGGGTGTTGGAGAAACGCACGTTGGAAAAGATCTCCAACAGAAAGAGAGAGGTGAACAAGTCTTTTGCAAAAAACAAATTGGCTATACGAATTATTTCATAGAATTGCAACGTGAATTCGACCTGGTTTCACGCGCGTATTACGGAGATAGATAATTGTAGCACAAGACTGCGCTATAGTTTCAAAAAATTTATTTTGGTTTTCCATCTTTTAAATATTCTTTGAGATCTTCTGCTCCAAAGAGACTGCAAGCTTTTTCACTTTAACGATTTTCTGCATATATATTTATTAATGTTTGAAGGATGTTCGCCATTTTCTTTTTTCTTTTCACGGAAAAACAACGAGAAAGTTGTACATTATCATATTAAAGCCGCTCTTCGGTCTTCTACCGTCTGACATGTGTCTGGTTATACTACTTCGCTGACAGGAAAATGTATGAAAACATTCTAATTCGATATGTATCCATTAAAGTTGGAACGAATCTAGATCCACGCTGAGGATACATTTATACTGATTAAGACATTTTTATATTTTTCTTCTCAGCCGAGTAGAATAATCAGTCACGTGTCAGCCAGTGGAACATCTTTATATGTTCTTTAATTTTAACTATATTATAAATGAAATTTATTTAAAAAAGAACTAGATATTAATAAATACGACAAACATTTAATTTCTAAATATATTTTATATATTTTATATATTTCTAAATATATTTTATATATTTTATATAATTTCTAAATATATCTTATTTCTATATATTTATTTTCTTTTATTTTACAAAAAATAATATATTTATATATATCTAGATCATTCACTTTTGAGATAATTAAAGTTATTAAAATAAATTGATGACAAAAGGTGCAAAGTAAATTTTACTTATTCGTTTTTAAAAAAATTCATTTTCATTACTTTAAAACTATTAATAATATTATTAATTTTTCATCATTACTAAAATATATTTTTATTATAAAACTTTATTTAATTATAAATTACATTAATTTAAATTTATTAAATTATAAATTATATTAATTTAAAATTGAATATATAAAGATTCCATACCCGGTGGTCTACATGACCATCTGTGTCACGTACTGTTTTTATTATTTTCGCTCGAGAAAATAACGAACATCCTCGAATACCATATGAAAAGAACCCGAAAAGTGAAAAGTCGTACGATCTCTCTTTGTCCAAAAATCTCCAAAGATACCTTTTTAATTCGTCTTTGATTCACCGAAGCACGATCTGTTCACGCCTCTCTTCCCCATTCGCCTTGTTGAACGTCGCGTGGAACGTGCCGATCGCGGTCCGATCATCGACGAAGAGGAACAAACTCGGTGTCAATCGAGCAGTCGTCGAATGGAAGATGCACTGTGGTCGACAATTGCGAGTGTGTGTGTAACGTCGTCGTCCGCCATTAAAGGTAAAAAGAAAAAGAAAAGTCTACAACATGGTACACTGGTGATTTCTGGCACCGGAAACGTAAACAAGCAAGAAGGGTCTCGCTTGTTTCGGCGTCGATCGCACGACCAGCTGCCTCTCAATGGAGCTGGAAGCACGGCCGCCACGCTTTTTACGCTCCTTGAGCATCCATCCAGCATGGATGCTCTCTCTCTCGTCCAAGTGTCGTGTCGAGATGGATCTACTACTCTTGCTGGTCACCACAGCCCGCAAGAGTCGATTCTATCTTTCACCTTCGGCAGGTAAGAGATCACTCGGACTCAGAGTCGATCGACGAGACAGATCGAGCTTCATCTCGCGGCTCTCCCGGTATTCGGGCATATTACGTGAAGGGAACGCAACAGCAGAAAAAAAAAAAAAAAAAAAAGGTAGTGATCGCGGGAAGATCGCGAGATTCAGGGGATTAGCGCCGAGTCGATTGGAAATGGAATTACGAAGTAACGAAGAAGCGTGGGTCTATTAACGCTGGAACTACCAAAATGGTCAGAATGGCCAGTTTTCGTTCAGACGTGTAATAACGTGAATATACAGTGTGTATTATATTGTATATATAATATAATGCACACTGTATATTTTATAATACAATGTATTATAATTTATTTTGTAATACATTACAATGTATATATTTATAAAATATATAAAATATATTATATATATTTTATTCCATAATACTATTGTATATATAATATAATACACACTGTATATTTTATAATATAATATATCATAATTTATTTTGTAATATATTACAGTGTATGTATTTGTAAAATATATTATATTATATATATTTTATTTTATAATAAACTGTAAATTTTATAATATAATATATCATAATTTATTTTGTAATATATTACAATGTATGTATTTGTAAAATATATTATATTATATATATTTTATTTTATAATATTATTTTATTATATATATATATAATATAATACACACTGTAAATTTTATAATATAATATATTATAATTTATTTTGTAATATATTACAGTGTATGTATTTATAAAATATATTATATTATATATATATTATTGTATTATATGTATTATAAAATATATATATTATTGTATTATATATACACTGTATATTTTATAATTATACCTAATACATTATAATGTATTTTGTAATATATTACAATGTATATATTTATAAAATATACAAAAATATATTGTATCATGTACATTTCATTTTATATTATACTATTTTATTTTGTATATAATATAATATACACTGTATATTTTGTAATTATACCTAATACATTATAATGTATTTTGTAATATATTACAATGTGTATATTTATAAAATATATAAAAATATATATTGTATTATATGTATTTTATTTTATAATATTATTTCATTATATATATATATAAATAAAATCTTGTGCGTATCCTACATTGCACTACAAAGACCTTTCTCTCTTTCACTTTACTTAAAATTTCTCTGACGGAAAAATTTTATACTTTTTTCGTGTCGGTAGTTCTAGTGTTAAAGAGATGGGAGACAGAGAGACAAATACTCGACCTGGTGGTGAGTTTCTGATTTCGAGTTGAACAGTGGCAACTTAACTAAGAATATCAGAGTCTCTGAGATGTAAACTGCGTCGAATTTCGTCGTAATCGTCTTTTCTTTCCAGGCAGATTTGATCGCGATATTATACATTTCAGGAAAACGTTGTACTTTTAGTTAATATACCACTGATTTCGTCGAGAACTTACCACCGGGAACGTAACACTGTGTGAGAAACGCAAAAAGGAAACGGACACGATCGGATGCGACAAAAACCAGATGCGAAAACCAAGGATAGAGAACATAGAGAACAAGAAGAACGGAGTGGAACCAAACGAGAAATAGAAACAGACACAGACGTAAGACAGAGAAACAAAAGACAGAGGTAGCGAACGACTGAGATAATTATCATAGTTATCATGACCGTGGCTTAAAAAAAAAAAAAAAAAAAAAAAAAAAAAAAAAAAAAGAAAAAAAAAAGAGAAAACGGTGGATGTCGGGGGTAACGCATAGACAGGAAAGAAAATTTAATAGAATTGAAAGAAAGCGCGAATCTCAGAGACTCGGAGGCATGAAGCGACGCTCGGGCGGGGGTGGTTTTCGGTTAAATCGGTAAAGAATAAGAACACAGAAACAGAGAAAGAAAGAGAGAGAGAGAGAGAGAAAGAGACAGACAGACAGATAGATAAAGATAGCCAGAAGAAAATGGAAAAAAACGTGAAAGTGGAGAGAGAAAGAGAGAAAAGAAAATAGGAAAAAAGAAAGAAAGAAAGAACAACAAAAGAAAGTAACGGTGGAGGTACATAGAAGAAAACACGTAGTATGAAACGTAGTAGAACAAGTGTGAAGGAATCGAAATACATATATATATATATGTATATTTATATATATATATATATATATATGTATATTACGCACGTCGCTGAGCAAAAGTACCTGGGTGACGGGATTCTCTCCGGGACGATAGACGACATTGTGCATCGGCCGTTTACGGCCAACGTAATTCACGCAGACGAACTCGAGCAAGCTGGCGTAGATGAAGCACATACACACGCCGTCCCACACGTTCATGGCAGTTAAGTTTGACACGACGGGCAGCGTCGACCGGAAACCGTTCGACGTCGTGAAGAAGTTGAGCATCGTCGTCACACCTGCGAACAATCGTTTCCCCGCTGTTTCTCTCCCGTCACGTTTCCTTTCGTCATTTTTTTTTTTTTTTTTTAACAGTTATACACACAAATAAATAATATACTACAAAACGAAGGATATCGGGCGTTCGTCGTTTCTTTTCTTGCTCTTCAGGTGAATTTTTATAGCTTGAAAGACTGGTACTAAAGTAACTGAGTCTGGTCTGAGTTAGTTATTGTCTTGAACTAGAACTACCGGCGATTGAAACAGTCATATTGTATCAATTTCAATTGATGGAGAAATTGATCTATGAAAAAATGTTCAAAAAAAAAAAAAAAAGAATGAAATAAAGAAAAAAATAATTCTGAAATAATAAATATAATTATTCTAGATTTTAATGTTATTTTAATGTAAAATTCTTCTTTTGCGAATAATATCTCGAAATCATAAAGTTTCAATTATAATTAAATTTATAAATATAATTGAAAGTATATTTTTTATGTTAATTGATAAAATAATTCTAATTGATAAATTTATTAAATTAAACGATATAATAATTGATCATGGTTTTAATTTAATTAATAAAAGGGGAAAATTTTCTTTCATTTAAAATATTAATTATTATTATATTAAATTTATAATAAATTAATTTGATTCATTGAAACATAATGTTAACAAAATTGAAGATACACATGCTTGAATAATTGGTATTCAGAAATTTCTAAAATTAATGATACATTTTGAATAATTATAGTAAATGGTGAAGTAGAAATTCAATTTATTACAAGATTTCTTAATAAAGTTAAAATTGAATGTCCAGAAATTAAGGTTCAAAGTCGAATTATTAATCTAATTAATTAATTCAATAATTACTAGGAGAATTTAATGGAACTGAATGTTGGTATTAATCTAATTAATTCAATAATTACCAGGAGAATTTAATGGAACTAAATGTTTTAAAGAATTAATTGGAAAATTAATAAATAAATAAATAAATAAATAAAAAATCTCAATCATAATGATAATGATATCGATATAAATTTCCATCCAGAGATGTTAAAATGAACAATTTTAAAAACTAAGAAAAATAAAAAATCTTACGAAAAATCATTTAAATCTCTAAAAACAAAAAAAGAAGTACGCTGCTCTACGTCTGCAAAATATGCCAACAAAGACACGTTGATGACAAATTGATCAGTTTGAGAGTGTTTGGTAGTTCTAGCGTCGATAGTTCTATCCGTTCGTTTCATTTGCTTTCTTTTCACTTTCACTGGCAACAGGACTGCAACAAGGTAGAAAGGACGAAAACGATGGTTGAAGAGTTCGAGCTTACCGATCATTACTCGCGCTGGCACCGCGTTCCATTCGAGCCAGAAGGTTATGAAGGAGCTGGTCACCAAAATGATACCCGGGATGAAGACTGTTGTGAAGTAGAAGGCACGATCTCGCGTAAAAATCAGATCCACCTTCAGGCAGCTGTAGTTACCTACACGTGCGTTACATTCCACAATTACGACTCTGGGTCGGGATCGCGCTGACGCGGACAACAGCGAGCAATTTAGATCGATGGAGAGCTAAACAAGCGATTTACTGGTGGATCGTCCTTTCGAACGATAATGATTAATCGATCGACCACAAGCGGATGCGCTTTCTTTCTAGCGTATCAGATTATTCAGGATTATTTATGTTTCCTAGATTCTTTAACCTCGTTGCGAGATTCTCCTCCGGAAAAAATTCTCCAATTGAGAAGCCTCGAGAAATCTCGCGCCGACTTATAATACACAGTATTATAGTATCGAGCAAGTTTCGGGGGGGGGGGGAAAAAAAAAAAAAAAAATTTTGGCTTTCTCGTCGAGCTTCCTTTGCTTACATCGAACATTCGGCAAACGGTATAAAACAGTTTTTCGTTTCGTAAATGCGCGATGCCTCGCAGGGCACCGGGGGATCACTCGTGTGGATCTCTCTCTCTCTCGCGGAGAGGTCAGCTCTCTCTCTGAGACGTGGGAGAAATCAAACGAGAAGAGAGAGAAAAAAAAAAAAGAGAAAAAACAGCGTAGGAAACAAGAGGTTCACTGTCGTGTCGCCAATCTTTCGCAACGAAGCTCCACATTCGCGAAAGCGTTTCAAGCCGAGCTGTATATATATATATATATATATATATATATGTCGTAACGCGTGAAAACGTTCAACAGGATGAAAGTTTTGTGGAAACATCGTACGGGGGTGGGGGGGGGGGGGTGAGTGGAGGAAACATCGTGAGTCGAGGAGCAACATCCAGAGAGTTTCCAAGTGATAATTTCTTTTTCTCTCACACACCTGAATTAACTGAACTGAGGTCATAAAATTGTCTCTCTCGCCACGACCAATCGTCGATTTCATCTCTTGATGAAAAAGAATCAGGAAAATGGTGTGATGTGCGTAGCGAAAAAAAAAAGAAGAAAAAAAAAAAAAAAAGAAAAATAATCGATCGAAGTTCGTCTTGTTGATGGATGGTCGCGTGAGTTGGGGAGAGAGAGAAAAAAAAAGAACGGGGGGTGGGTGGGTGGGTGGGTGGGGGGTTGTAATGAAGCAGAAGCGAAGCATAGGCTAAATGATTCAAACAAACGTATTCGTAATCACGTCCAGCAATTGTAATACTCGTATATTCGGAATCTAACGTGTTGGGTTGAACTCTAATACGAATTACATAACGGTTATACAAAGTAATCTAATCTGTCGTAACGTATCTAAGGCACGCGCGATCATCTGCCAAGCGATTGACAACGAGTTCTCGAACGTTGGTACAAACATTTCACCAACGGATGGTGGAATTGCTTTCTCTTCTTCCTTTTTCCTTTTTTTTTTTTTTTTTCCAATCACTTGGCAATGTCGCAGGCGGTAATAATAATACGATACTCTCGTCCTTTGCACGTGACACACACATATATCCGTCCATGAACATGAACACGGCTCTTCTAGTACAGTGTACGAGCACTTCCTTCAGCTACTCTACCATACGTACCTTGCGGCCGAAACTGGAAATCGGTGATTTCGTGAGACAATCGAGAACGAACGCGTGCAAAGGGTGAAAGTACCGTGACTTGGTTGATGTAACGACTTGGTGTATAGTAACATCGGATCTATTACGTTTGGGACAATGTTTCCCAAATTCCTCTATCGTGGACAGACGTGTCTTTTTTTTTTCCTTTTTCTTTTTTTTACAAATCTGTGTGTGTGCGTGCGTCACAGATCGCGCGGTCAACAAGAAAAGACGAAAAAAAAAAAAAACAATATCAATTCTTCTGAATCCAAGGAAGAGGACGATTTGGGAAGCAACAACTCCGAGTATCTAGGCCTGTCTCTCACGAGTTGGTAAGCTTGGTCCTGTCTCTCTCTCCCTTTCATATAGCTTATCTAAGAAACCTCTCTCACGCGTTCTTCTGTCTCTTGTGAATGTCGTATTTTTATTTTTTTTTTTTTTAATTTCTTAATATTCATTTCTTTCTCTTTTTTTTTTTTTTTTTTAATAAGAAATACCGTTCATATCGAAGGGGAG